ACACACACACACACACACACACACACACACACACACACACAACAAACCAGGAGATCATTTTCTTAAGAGTGCATTCCTAGTAATCTATAATTTTTTAAATTGTTAGTGAAAGTAGATTTCGACAACATAAATCCATGCTCAATAGAAGTATTGATAGCGATGATAATGATGTGATATACACATTTTTCTGCTACTTACTCATGAATAAAAGTAGAATTATAACAAACCTCTATAATAGTAATGTCAGACTGGAAGACAGGCACCTGTCTGTGATTAGACAGGCAAACTTTTGCTTATGTCTTCATGGATTTACATTGTAATTTATTTAGAGTATTTGATATTCTAAGGTAAGAGGTAGCAGAGAAGTGTCAATATCTAGACCAACTTTGATATTCTTGTAAAATTTATTGGGTTATTTTTATGCTCTAAAGAAGAGAGAGAGAGAGAGAGAGAGAGAGAGAGAGAGAGAGAGAGAGAGAGAGAGAGAGAGAGAGAGAGAGAGAGAGAGAGAGAGCATGTGATGGATGTATGTCACAGCATACATGTGGAGATCAGAGTTCAACTTGCTGAAGTCAATTCACTATTTCTGTCATATAAGTACCAAAGATCTAAGTCAGGCTGGTCAAGCTTGACAGCAATCCCTTTAAAACTCAGAGCTATTGCTATGGCACACTCATTATTTTAAAGTCAAGTTGACAACAAACAGTATAACTGTATTTGCTTCATTATTGCTGATGAGGGCTTGTATTTACTGACACAAATAGCTTCACTTTGTATAACTGTCTCAATTGTAGACACGTGATAAACTTCTCATCCAGTGAAGTCTGACACCAAAACCTGTTTGTTTTGACATACACAGACTCCATAGTGCATTGTACAGGCTTTGAATATAGTTTCCAAATTCACTTTCAAGGTCTATATTTTATTCCTTATAGTGTAGTTTGGTGGACTCATAATTTTATAGTAAAAAACAGATTTTGTCAGATATTCTCAGTATATCATTACATTGTGGCTATGAAAGTAACATTTCAAGTGCAATCAGTATATATAACTGAAACAAACTCTTTGGACAGAAACAATGTTCTCTGGAAACACTAAACTATTGTATGATACACTAACCACATGGTGTGAATGAATTTACAATATCTGTTTCCGTTCACAACACTTCCACCTCAAGGGAAAGGGCTTTCCAATTCAATATTTCTTCAATTCCTGTAAATTAGCATCTAACAGGATTACAACAATGTTTCTTACTCCACAAAACAGGCAAAAACCATATTTTATAAACTACCCTCCAAAGAATACCTAACTTAAGTACCTTTATTATCTATAAATTATTATATCACCATAGTCAATCGAAACCATTTATTTAACTACATACTGTTGATAGCAAAAAACTAAGCTTCAATAGATTTTTTCATGATTATTATTTTTGAAGCATATTACTAACTTGCAAGCATATTCTAGGAAACAGAAAAACCATGATATCACATGAGCTATAATTTTATCCATATTGGTATTAAATCGAAAATGATAAATAGAACTATAACTGATGATCTAAGATCTCAATCACCAAATTAAATCTTTTGCATAGGTTCTCCTCACCATGGTCACAAAGCCAGCTCATCAAATAAGTCAACATTCAGTGAAATGACTTTTAATACAATGCAAACACCTGATGAACCTCAATCAGTTGGATTCTCTTTACTATATAATTGTTAATTAATCAAGATTTCTGTTGCAAACTGGGCTTAATGATACACACATTTATTCCCAGCACTTGGAAGGTAGAGAAGTTTGAAGCTAGCCTAGCCTGCATAGTGAGTTCTGGTACAGCCTGAGGTTATAATGAGACCCTGTCTCAAAAACCAAAAGAAAAAAGAATGATTTCTGTTGTATGGGGACAACATTCCACAAAAGCATTCTTACTTTTAGTAAAAAAAAAAATATTCTGATGCTCTCAACTTAATTATATAATCTGGTAATTATATTTCTGTGAAGAAAATAGCTACCTAACTGGGTTCAATTTGCCTTCTTTCTTAAAAAAAAATAATGAAAAAGAAGTATATCACCATAAGCAAATTTAATATCATGCCACATGCCTGACCATGAAAGTTCCAATTTTGCTGCTTTTGTGAGTGTCACAAATGAACACTGTTCTAGTGACTCTCCAAGCATATAGTGTTCTCCATTTTCCTGGAAAATAACTTGAAAACAGTTTTAAACCACTAGCCAAAACGAAAGCCATTCTAAGAGAATTCCTGAAATACAGAACTCTCATACCAACTGCAATGAAACAAGCATCTGAACACTCAACTGTGGTTTGTAATAAACAAGTCTTCATGAAATCTAACAGAACTCAAAATTCCACTGTCTATTGAAAAGCTATCACAAAATCAAAGTCCCATAACATAAT